CCCCGGCTCTGCTCAGGAATAGCGGGGGGCCCGCAGCCGATGTTTTACCAGTCCTGCCCAGCGCAAGGACTTGCCCCATGCATCCCCCCCGAGTTTGGGGGACCCCACGGTCCCCCCGGCACCCATCCTGGGGTGGCAGGAGGCCACCAGGGACCCATGCCAGCCCCCAGGGCCGACACCGGGAAGGCGAAAGCCAATCCCAGACCCGCTGGAGGAAGTCGGGGGGGGCGCAGGGTGTGGTGTACATGTTGTATATATTTTACATGCGGTTATAAATACACACTTATTTTTTTAATCTCTATCCCCTGCCAGAGGAGCGCTCCTGGGGGCGATGCTGTTCACGGGGGCACCCGAGAAGGCTCGGGGGGGTCCCCAGTTATCCTGGAGCCACAACCGGGAGGAAGGATGGGGCTGGAGGAGGGATTGAAGCCCAGGAGGAGGGATGGGAGAGCCCAGGCTTCGGCTGGGGTCTCCAGCACCCATGGGTGGCTCTGGCAGGGTTCTTTGTGCCAGGGGGGTTCGCTGGTCCCTGCAGTGGGTGCCAGATGCCAGCTCAGCAGTTTTGGGGGGATCCCGTGCCTCCCACACCTTCCTCTGCTCCGCGCCCAGCAGGTTTGGGTCACATCCAGCAGGTTCGGGTCACCTCCGTCCGCTCTTTGTCCCCAAAGCCCCCCCAGTGCCTTTAACCCTTCCTCTCCCTTCACAGCCCCCTTCCTCCCCCAGCAGCTCCCCAGTTAACCATTACCCTTACTGGTGTCTCCTCTCCCTCCCCAGCCCCACTGCTCCGGCCGGTTCTTACCTGCCCTTCCCAGGATCGCAGGCACCGGGCGCTCGGTACGATCCTGCCCGGAGCCGCTGTCCCGCGCTGCCTCAGGCCGGGGCTGGGTGACCCCTTCTGCTCCGGGGGGGTCCCCGCCGCCCCAACCCCTCCTTCCCTGGGCTTTATGGGGTGAATGCAGCCGAGTCACCCCAGCACTCGCCTGTGCGGCTCCCTGGGGGGGACAGGCTTGGGGACAGCGTTGCGCGCGCCCTCCAACAGCCCTTCCCTTCCCGAGGCGGATAAAGTTGAGAGAAGGAAAAAGGGGGGTGGGGGACCCTCTTCAGGACCCCCCCCAAACACGCCAGGACTCGTCCATCCTGGAGAGCATCTTCCCTGGGAACAAGCCTTGAGGGAGAAGCTCGAGGTTTTCTCCTCCTGGCACGTGTTTTCGCCGTCCGCCGAGGGAAGGGGAACGGGGGTCCCGGCTCCGTCCCCCCGGCTCCTCGGGAGTTGGGGAACCACGCTTTTCCCCCCTTCTTCAGCCCAGGGCCGGGGAGGGCTCAGCCCGGGCCAGGGCAGATCCTTAGTGCCTTTTTATGCAGTTACAGGTTACAAACATGGCAGGCGTGGATGGCCAAGTCACCGAAGACTTAAAATTTGGAAAAAAAAAAAGCCCTATTTTTGACACGATTGTACGCGGAGAGCTATAAAGCAGAAGCCGTAACAGCTCGCAGTGAGTTTGGTTTTATACTTCAGTGGGAAACGGGACTTAATTCTGGCAATAACCCTGCGTCGTAGCGTTTTGGGAGCGCTAAGACGGCAGCAGCTGGGGGGTTTCTGCCGCCTCCCTTTGCCCATCGCCGGCCCCGGAGGGACCCCAGCCCCGGTGGCACCGGGGCCACGGCGTGGGGCGGCCGTGGCCGCGTATGTACGCTTTCTGTATGGAGTATTTGTTACAGGTAAATATAATTCTGCACCCGACGGTGGTTTGTCTCGTTGATAAAGCCCTCGCTCACCTCCCTCGGCCTTTGGCAAAGCCCGGCTTCGTTAAGCACCTCCGAAATTAGCAACGGGGGGCAAAGTCCCGATGCCTTCAGGAGCACCCCGGGACTCTGCCCCCCCAACGCCGCCGAGCCGGGGGCTCCCAGCCCACCCCGCGCTGGCTCCCAGAGCCACGTGTCCCCACCGCAGTGGCCACCCCGGCCACTCGCCCCCATCCCGCTGCTGGGAACGGGGGTGCCCCGAGCCCCCCCCAGAGACCAGACCCCTCCAAGATACAGGGCTGGGGGAGCCTAGACCCCCCAAAATCACCATGAGCGGAGGCGGCGTGCGATCCAAGTGATACATGAGGCCGTTTATTGAGCGTTACAGACGCGGAGGAAGAGTATGGGGGGGGGTCTAGAGGAAGGATGACGGCGGGGGGAGTAACTGTGCATCTATACAGGGGGGCCGGGGTGGCCCCAGCCGCTACCTGGGCAGCTCCTGCAGGAGAGAGGGAGTATCCGGGA